GATATTTGTATAACAAGTAAAACAAATAGAATATAGAGCCAGTGGTTGAGTTGAGGAGCTTTTAGCAGATTTTTCAGTTTGACTTTAAATCTACTAGAGAAAGCAGACTGCCCAAAGGCAGTATGACTAAAGGTTAAAGTGCAGTTGTTTATCCTTTTGAGGTTTGTTTGTGGTGGTTTATAGTTTAATGACTCTGTCTCTTAACCAGCTGGCCCCAGCATGTGATACAATGAGACATATGTCTCAAGGATCGTGGCATTCATAAATATCTTTGCTGCATCCACAGATTTTTCCAAGTTGTATTTTTATAGTTTTTGGCCTTTTTGTCTTTCTTAATCCGTTATTAGACAGATATATTTAAATTTAGTGACATATGTAACTTTTCAGCCATAATGAGAATGTCAACATCAGCAGACTGTACACTAAGAACATACCTTAAGTCTAATGTTCAACCTAAGACATGATTGATCAAGCCAGTGTGCAGTCTTTTCCAGAGCAGTTGTTAGCTTCACACAACAGTGTCATCAGCATATATTTGCAATTCTATCCCATGACACTGCCATGGACAATGTGCCGTGTATCTGGTCAAATTCAGCTCATCCACTGTAAAAGGTGCAGATGAAAATGACATTTTTTTTCTTTTTTTTTCTTTTTTTTCTTCCCTCTGCACCCTGTATTCATTATGCAAGCACAGGGACAAATTAAAACATGCATTATTGGTTTAATAGGAAGGGTCATGCTTTGCTAATCTGTGTGGTAGACTATAATAACTTTGTCATGTTGAGATGTTTTCTGCTCTGTCCTGTTGGTACTCTCTGTTTGGTAGGCAGTAATTGGAGAAGGGCTTCGAGGCTTCCTCCAGTGACCTCATTACCCCAATTAAATTTGTAGCCTTCTCTGAGAACAGTCCATCTCACAAAGTGATGTCTGATTATCACTCCCAGTCCAAATGAGGTTGAGATATGCAGCTGAGGAAGTGGAGCAGGGACATATGGCTGTGCCTTTTACGGTTTGCTGCAGTGTGTTTTTCATACTTAGTTCATTTAACCAAAAAGAACATTATAACATTTTAAATAACCCTTTCACCCATGAAAAGTAAAAAAGAATATAAATGTTTGAATAGAGTTTGAATATCCTGAATAGCACCCGTGTTATTCCTTACAGACAATGCAAGTCTTGAATATTACAGTAGCTACCCAATGCTGTGGTTATATACCACAGAAATTCTACTACTGCAGCATAGTCTGGTTGAAATGTTAATATTTAAACAAGCAGCATTCTTCATTAATACTGGTGACCCCAGGATTACTTTAACAGCACATTCATAACTTCTAGGTTGTTTGCAGTGACCAGAAAAAACTTTGTGACACTTGCTGCCATCTTTGTCCTGTAAAAGCGGGCGAAAGTGGTGGGTTGTTTGCGTTTCTTAAAAAAGAGCTGTCAAGCCGGGGCCAAATTATAATCCTATCAGTGCTCTTATGGAAATTGTATTTTTTTACTAATTAGCAAACATGCGAAAAACTTTTTAGATTGCAAATTTTCCAAACAAACTTGTGAAATCCGTAGAATTAACACTGAAGATACTGTGTGCATTATGAACAGTCCTAAATGATGTCCAAAAGCAACAGTTTGCTACCAAGGGCAGTGTATTTACTTTCCAACATTTTCTTTAGTGTATTCTCAGTTCATTTGAAGGGGACTATATGGTGGCCTCAAAACTTCCCATGATACATCATAAATGTCCACAGCATTTTCACTACTGTCAGCTAAAAATCATTTATAATTAGTTTGGTGTATTCTTGTGGTTTCTTGAAGCGAGATTCCACCAATCAATACTACTGTTATTCTGTGTACTTGCATGCAATCAAAGATGACCTCCGTCCTGCAGGCGTGTGAGAAGTATTCGTTTGACTCATTAAATAAAATGCTTTAAGAACATTTCTCCTCATCTCATCATCTTTCTATCACTCCAGGGAGAACACCATCACACACAATTTTAACACGTACACGTACACGTTTCTTAAGATTCTACCTAAAAGAAAAGTTTGATGTAGAGTTTCATTACAAAATGATACATCTCCACACTTGCAATACAAACGTAACCTCTCATTGATGGTTCAAATGTATCTTTAAGAGTTTCACAACAATCTCACCTTTATGAAGTTGATTATTTTGTAAGAACACTCAACATGTTTTCCACACAGTACATCAGTAAATGTGTCATTTTTAATTGGAACAGTATACAGCTCCATACCATTGTTGTCAAGTGGAAATGTCTTCCTAAATTGTCAGATTTTGACAAAGTTAGAAAACTGCCTTGTTTTGAGCTCAATGCTGTGTTTTTAATTCATAAATTTTGAGAGCGATTAATTAAACCATTAGCCCATAGAGGAGCATAAGTGAACAATTCAAAATGTTACAGGAGTTACAGGATTTTACATCACAGCACATGAGAGTTGTGAAAAATATGTCCATGAATTTTGAATGTTACATCACGTCAATGGATTCATTCTAACACCCCACTGCTGCTCTTCCAGGCTCACACCCAAATCCTCAAACCGGCAGGAAAAAAAATGCAGCAAACAATCAACCCTCACTTGACAGTTGTTCTCAAAGTTGCACACTAACCAGTTGATTGAGATGAGGCCATTTGCGGACGACAACCTCGGATAGAAGGGGGGGAATCAATGCCTGTTTGTCCACTTCTTTGCTCATTAAGGAACCTTTATTCACGTCAGGGCCTGTATACGACAAAGAAAGCTCACAAGTGCACATTTTCAGTCCGAGGAGGGTGGTTTTTCCTCCTCCTCAAAGCCCTCCCCTCATCGAAATTCGCCTCACAGAATCGCTGTGCCAGAGGCTAGAGTCTTGACAGGGGTAGCCCAGTGAGAGGGAAATCAAACGATTCCCTTTTTTACGGCCTGGCCGGCCAACTGGGGGGGCCCACTTGCCTACCAGTCCTTTATCTGTATCACACCTTTCCAGTTCAGGAAGAAAGGAAAGGCAGCCGTACTGTCCATTCATCATCTTTAGTGATTCAGGGGTTTTGTCTGTTGCCTGTTGGATGCGAGTCCTTGGCTCCTCATAAATACTGCTAATACCTGAATTGTGCCGATTGATATCCTTTCAACAGGAAAAAGATGGTGATAAATGTTGATACAATGGAATGAATACGGGCGTCAGATGCGGATATACTGTGCAGTAATGCAAGCTGAGCCCACTGTAAGGCCTATTTAAACAAAAAACAGTACATTTCTCAATAGAGACCAATTTGTCAGAGCAATTTGAGAGTTTTTCTGTGTCATCAAAATGTAATGACAACACAATTGCCTTCATAAGCCGAGTACACGAGAAAAGAATATCTAATTTTGCTGTAATGTACCATGGAGCACTTTCTGTTGCAAATGAAGGTCTGGTTTGTGGAAGGTCACACGGCGCTCCTGTACATAATTAAATGGGATTTGGTTGGTCTGCCTAGTTTAAGTACTTTTATATTATTCCACAATATTGATCATTTCTTCTAAATTCCCATAAAGTGCACTTCGGTAACCCCTGGATCTTCAAAATGATTGTTGTTTTGTGTACACACAGTCACAGCAACTCCATTTATTCTCAGATTAGTCAACGCAAATTGGGCAATTTATCTTGTTTCCAAAGCATTTATTCACTTTACCTATTTTCAACAGCAATATTAGTTTATTGAAAAGAGGCAGAATGGGGTCAGCTAACAAACCGATGCCTATGTGCCAAAGAGGGAAATGTGTAATTTATTTATGTCCTATGATTATGAATTATTTGGTGGTGTGGATATTAGAAGGGTTGATCGCTCATGCTCACACAATAACCGTCCATTTTGCTGTTCTTCATACAGTAATAGGGCTAATGGAGAAATCAGTTTTTATTGTCTCGGGATTGTGTAATTCTGCATCCATATTTTTTTCATGATCACCAGAAAAGAAAAGAAAAACATGTACACCTCATCTACCCTCATGTCCTGTGTGGCCTTCTGGAGATGTTCTTTTTGGTGTGTTGCCACATATTTCACTCCTTTTTATATGCAAGAATAATACTACTCGAGCGACTTGTCACGCTGGTTGAGAGTATTTTTTACTGTGCATTTCAGACCTTTTTCTGTGATTTCCATTGGGCGGCAGTGCGTCGATCCTCAAACTTGAGCTGCACTGCGTTGCCTGCCTGTGCCCGTGCACTCTGTGCCGCACTCTCTGCTCTCCGGCAGAGCCAGTTAAAGTAACTCCCACACTGCGGCTTTATTTCTACAAACAGCGGCTAAGAGGGATGATTTCCTCATGTGCGTTTGTTGGGGAGGTTTTAGAGGATGAAGACTCCAGGGGAACGCGGGTCTGGAAGCGTTCACACCGGCATCACTGTCAAGTCAGACAGAGTAAGGAAACCACGCGTCTGATGTGCTCTTCAAAATAAAAGCCGTCCAGGAAGATGCATCTGTATTGAGGACACATTATGATTTGATGACAAATGGTGTGCTTTTATTTTGATGGCAAATCCTCTCATGTCCTGTGCGGTCTTGGTCTACTTGTGCGCACTTTACGCATATCGCGTTGACACTCGGATAGAGAGAGGGAGGGAGAGAGAGAGAGACGGCGTCCGATGTGTCTTTTTACTGCACATCACTTTGGAAATTTGCGCTCGTGTAGTCCTGCTTCGCGGTACTCACCTGCCGGGGCTGTGTGTCTGTGAGCGGCTGACAACTGATTTAATAGGATAATCAGACTAATTGCCTCCTCTCATATAGCCCTTCATTGATTCTGTCGACCATTCCCCTAATGACTGTCATGCTTTTCTTCATTTTCTTCTGTCCTGCTGTTTCAAAGTGACTGGCTGCAGGTGTTTTTGTGCTCTGATTTGCGCCAGTCCAGGCTGGCAATATGTAAGTTTTCGGGCAGTAGACGCGTGCGGGGAGTTTGGGGTATTTTGGGAGAAGTGGACGTGGATTTCACAGCGGTGGATTCCTTGTTGTTTGTTTTTAAGGAGGAAAACCCATTGACTGTTTACTCTGTAGACCAGAACAGATTCTGATACACCGTGATGGTGTGGGGCTATCAGAACTGACAGCAGAGTGTACGCTATCATTTGGAAACTGCTTGTGGGTAAGTTACATTTATTTTCCATCTTAGCGAGTCCAAAGTTGTTCAGATGCTCCCGCTGCCTTCGGTGGAAATGTTTAAACCAGTTTGTTTGCGCCAACGATTAATCTGGATGACGCTGACATTTCATATGCACAGATTTGAATCACTTATCGACGCACTCTGACAAACGGATTCACGATCTCCTAATATGCGGCACTTAAATGCGCATTTGGAGGGAGCATGTTTTCCTTTCAGTTACGCATGAGAATCCCGGTCGCTCTTTTTTTTTTTTGCTTTAGTTGCGGACGGAGCCTCCTCAGTGGAAGTGTCCGCGGCTGCAGTACGACAGTGAAGCGGACCGCCGAAGTCTCCTGTATTCTTTAGTAAAACCTAATTATCCGATCAGAGCGATTACAGTGTGTCAGTGGACACGAGCTGTTAATTTTACGCATTCTTTTTTTCCCCCCTCGACGTTAATTGTGTAACACTGCGAGCATTTGCATGTCGCTCCAGTGCGTCAGCAGCGTGTGTTTGTGGTGTGTGTGCGTGTGCGTCTGTGCGTGTGCGTCTGTGGAAGTGCAAGTGCGTGCCGGTGTTGGTGGGTGTATGCGAATTTGCGCACATGTGCGTGTCGCTCTGTGCGCGCACCCAAAAGCGCGCGTGTGTGCCAGAGGAGGGAGGCGAGAAGAAGCCGGGCTTAGTTATTTCAAATTATTTCTGCTGAGTGATTGCTTGGCGAGTCAGCTCTCTCTGTGCCTCTCCTCAGTATTTGCGAGTATTTCTTCTCCTCTCCCCTGCTTCCCTCCCCTGCTTGGATGGATGATGGCCTATGATTGTCCAGATGGATGTTAGAGTCCACTCTGGCTCGGACCAGGCTCAATATATTTGGGAATTAGGAAGTGATACTGATGTAAAGTTAGAGGAGATGCTCGCTTAAAGAAAAGGAGAAAAACCCCTCCTTCTCCCCTCTACACTGATGACAAATGAGTTACAGAAGGTGCTGTAGCCTTACAAGTTGCATATCCCCATTTTATCATGAAACTGCTGCAGAGATGCTTCTTGTGTTTTTGTAAATCTCTGACAAACTATAACCCTCTCCCAGGCCGAGGCCTACAGTTTAAGCCTTAAGCATCTCATCACCCGCAAATGATTTTCAAATTTTGTCAACAGTAACATTTGCTCAACTGCTCCATCATCAACTCGCATCATGCCCTGCTCTAAATCTTTCCACTCCAATTCCCTCTTGACACTTTCTGTTTCAGGTGCTCTGATCTTCTTGCTTTATGATGTTATTTTTTCCTAACTTTATTCATCTCCCACATATGGGGTTAAGCTTGGCTACAGGAGCAACCAGCGGCACAATGAATTAATAGGTAAGTGGCAGTGGCCACTTAACGGAAGCCCTGCAGCTACATATTGAGCTGAGTCGAGTGCTCTCACACAGAAATTGATTTAGACAGAGATTATGTCATACAGCATTGGCACTTTTTTATGCTGGTCAAGTTTACCCAGCAGCATTGAATTCCTCCTCTGCTCCCTGATGAATTAAGTAGAGGTTTAAAGGGCATGTTAATGCGCCAATAAAGTCATGGTTTCATTGGTAAGTTTCATTTTACAATATTTGCAACTTGTGTTAAACACATGCATGATGTGTCATAAAATCTATTTCACTTTCAGAAACTTATCAACAATAATTGACATATAATCTTATTTTTCTTTTTAATGAGGCGAATCCCACTCGTCTTGGACAAAAATACACTCAAACTGGCCATGACAAGCACTTGAAAATATTACCTGACCCCGTTCATCTTACAATTCTCTCTCAGTGGTAAACAGAATGATGTGAAGACATCACAAGCTTTCTCTCGTGATTGATACTTTTAATTATCAAGGAGCTGTCAACAAGGCCTATTGGCCTTGGCTTTGCAATCAAGGGGCGGGCAGTCAAAGGCTTTCAAATGAAAGAGTTCATTAATATGGTGGGAAATAAGGGTTGTCTCGCCATGGAATATTGGCTCTGTGTGAGGAGTGATTGGAGCAATTGATGAGGATTTGTGAGGAAGAATGTTGGCGAGGAAGTTGATAGGGGGCTACCTTAATCATGGCTATTAGATTACATTAATAAGACTCAAGGGGAAATGAAAATACTGAGAGGTGATCCAGCTTGTGTGTTTATGTTATTTATGTGTGACCAAGTGCGTGTGTGCAAATATCGCACTTCAGCTCGAGCAACATCCATTCCCACTCGGCACGGCTGTCCAGGCGTATTGACTGTTGTGAAATCTGAGTATTAGAAGCTGTGGACTACATGCATAACAGACGCGCTCTCAGTTAAATCTTTTAGAAATCCAATTCTTGTGAAGATGAGATTCCTCTTTCCCCGTGCCTTGTTTCATTCTCCATCGCAATCATTGGGCATCGATCTGATTCAAAGCTATTTATTTTTGTTGCCGCCATCATGTCATGAATTGACAAGTATAGTAGATCTGGTAGATTACAATATGTCTGGGCATGTCGCCTCACCCATACAAAAAAGAATCATGACGACCAAGGATGAATATCAAAATTCCCATCTATCCAAGCTATCTCAGGCTTTAGTTAAAAAGTATTTCCTTGTATAACGTTACATTCATTGTTTTAGCTTAGTTTAGATGTTTGTTTTCACTGTCAGTTTTTATTTGTGTTTGATACAGACTTATCTTGTGACCTCTTGGGGCTACTGACCTAAGGTTTTTAAAGAATGGAGCAAAATTGTGAACAAAAAAAGAATGAAAAATGTTCAAATTAATAACCATATCGATCAAGAATCATAATAGCATTAAAGTTGTAAATGATTCTCTTTGTGTTTTGGACTGTTGGTCAGACATAATTAATTTGAGGACATCACCTCAGGTTCCCAGAAGTAGTGATGAGCTTTGTTCATAGTTTTTATAACTTTTATAATAATGAAAATAACCATTAATTGTGGCCTGATTCCTTTTTTGGGATCACATTCACTGTCACCAGTACAGTGGTACATTTTGATCATTTACATGGAGTATACTATAAGTGGGTGATATGATATATATGAATTTGTCTGCATATATATAGAATATACATCAGAATATAATATTACTTACTTATATCAAGATAGAGGTTTATCCATATTGCCCTTCCCTAAATTCCCTAAATAAACCATTGGTATATATTCCTATATATTCACAGATTCTGTAAATATCTGCCTGGTGGACAGCAAGCTTTCACCCATTCTAATTCCCAGCAGTCCATAACAGATGTCATTATTTACAATTCTGCAACCGCAGTGTAGGTTATGTCACGTCGGATCATTCCACAGAAGAGGCTTGCTTTGTTCTCAAATCTGTTTCCTGCAGAATAAGGAAACCCAAGCCTCGTGTACCCTTCAGACGCCACAGAATCTATGACCACTCGCTGATGGGAAACTAGGTTGTATGGAAAAATAAATGGCCTTCAAAATTGGCCCCCCCATTCACTTTGTGGCCCTTGAGCTTTGTGTGTGCCCTTCCCCGCTGTTGTTCAGTGGAGAGGTATCAAAAAGAATGGTCTTCTTGCAAATCATTTTCATGGGCCACTTATTTTTCAGACCTTGATCTGAATGCCTTCATGTATGGATGTGAACTGAGCTGAGTGTCTGCCGCTGCTATGCTAGCTTTATTTACTTTGTGCATGTAATGGCATCGCTATCCTAACAGAGCAACGCTTAATACTACAATAAAAGGATGATAATGGCATCACTTTAAACTGTCTCTTTACATTGCTCTTGAAAAAAAGGATGCGGGCTATTCTGTGTATGTATGTATGTGTGTGTGTCTTTGGAGGAGACCAAAGCATTAAGTTGACCAGAATCAAATGCAATTTAAAAGCGCTTTATTTCCCCATTTGTTACAGCAGAAAATAAAAGGACTCGAGGTCAGCCACAGTGTAGCGCGCCCCGGAGCTTAAAAGTTGTGCTGGTCAATTGTAACGCGGCTAAAATGAAGAATGAGGCGATGAAATACTCGTGTTGCACTTCCTCTGATGAAACAGCCATCTAAAGGCATGATCAATTACCTCAATATACTGTATTTTTCTTTGCTAGGGGCAAGCGACATTTCAAATGAATTTTTCCCCTTTTTAATCAGCAGTAAAATGAGAAGCCCATTGCTATAAGCAAGAGGGCAGAATTATCATTTTCATCCTTTCTTTTCAGCCCTACTATCATTGTGCCATGTCTGGAGGTGATCCTCTGAGGCCCATCCAGCCCGGAAAGATGAAGTTGATGTGTTTTAGATAGCTTTTAGAGAGATGTGGATAGAGGATGGAAATTGCATGCCAGGGGAAGCAAAATGAGCAATTTTTCCTCCCATTTCCCCTCCTCTCTTCATCGGATCTGTGCTTACTCATTCATGAAGGCTTTTGTTGTGACATTCCATACGTTGGTGTGGAGATGAAAAATCGCACAAAATGCCAGTTGGCAGGAAAAAAAAAAAAAAAAGGAGGAGACCCAGACTACATTATTGTGCAGACTAATGCATTTGCAGGCTAGATGCATAGCAGAAGAGACACAAGCCTCTAATGTTATCAAAATACTATCACAACTACCAATCTTTATTCACATTTTTTATTTGTATTCTAAGTGGCTGGTGTTGAGATATTCAGGGAATTCAGCAGAGCCTTTTACAAGCCCATTTAGGATGGTATGGTCTCAGCAATGGCTTTTAAGTGTTCACACTGTTGCGCTCAGTGTTTACTCAAGTGCGTGCTCCATAGATATCCATGAACACAGACTCTAACACTAACCCTAATTTCATATATCTTAATCCGAGCCTGGCAGGACCATGATTAGAAGAGGTACGTCAATGGAGTGAGTTCTTGTGTTTACAGCTAAAATATTTAAGCATATATTGTAACCTGCACCCCTGTAATGGAATGGTGGTACATGTGCCACTTTTGCTAAAATCCCACAATGCATATCTTAAATTTTGCTGGATATTTTGCTCATGAGACTCATAATCATGATTCAC